CAATGTGGCAATGTGGCAGGATACAAAATCAATGCCCAGAAATTCAATGGCATTTCTATCCACTAACAATGAGACTGAAGAAAGGGAAATTAAGGATTCAATCCCATTTACAATTGCACCTAAAAGCATAAGATACCTAGGAATAAACCTAACCAAAGAGGTAAAGGATCTATACCCTGAAAACTACAGAACACTTCTGAAAGAAATCGAGGAAGACACAAGGAGATGGAAAAATATTCCATGCTCATGGATTGTAAGAATTAATATTGTGAAAATGTCTATGCTACCCAGGGCAATTTACACGGTCAATGCAATCCCTACCAAAATACCATGGACTTTTCTTCAGATAGTTGGAATAAGTAATCTTAAGATTTGCGTGGAATCAGAAAAGACTCCAAATAGCCAGGGGAATATTGAAAAAGAAAACCAGGGCAGCCCAGGTGGCTCAGTGGTTTAGCATTGCCTTCAGCCTAGGGTGTGATCCTGGAGTCCCAGGATTGAATCCCGCGTCGGGTTCCCTTCATGGAGCCTGCTTCTCTCTCTCCCTCTGCCTGTGTCCCTGTGTCTCTCATGAATAAATAAATAAATCTTAAAAAAAAGAAAACCAGAGCCAGGGCATCACAATGCCATATTTCAAGTTGTAATACAAAGCTCTGATCATCAAGACAGTGTGGTGCTGGCACAAAAACAGACACAGATCAATGAACATGATAGAGAACCCAGAAATGGGCCATCAACTCTATGGTCAACTAATATTTGACAAAGGAGGGAAGACTATCTACTGGAAAAAGGACAGTCTCTTCAATAAATGATGCTGGGATTATTGGACAGCCATGTGCAGCAGAATGAAACTGCACCATTCTCTTACACCATACACAAAGATAAACTCAAAATGGATGAAAGATCTAAATGTGAGACAAGAATCTATCAAAATCCTAGGGGAAAACACAGGCAACACCCTTTTTGAACTTAGTCACAGCAACTTCTTGCAAGATACATCTATGAAGGCAAGGGAAACAAAAGCAAAAATGAACTATGGGACCTAATCAAGATAAAAAGCTTCTGCACAGCAAAAGAAACAGTCAACAAGACTAAAAGGCAACGTACAGAATGAGAGAAGACATTTGCAAATGACATATCAGTAAAAGGGCTAGTATCCAAGATCTATAAAGAACTTATTAAACTCAACACCCAAGAGACAAACAATCCAATCATAAAATGGGCAAAAGGCATGAATAAAAATTTAATCAAAGAAGACATACACATGGCCAACAAGCACATGATAAAATGCTCTGCATCACTTGCCATCAGGGAAATACAAACCAAAACCACAATGAGATGCCACCTCACACCAGTGACAATGGTGAAAATTAACAAGATAGGAAACAACAAATGTTGGAGAGGATGTAGAGAAAGGGGAACCCTCTTGCACTGTTGATGGGAATGTGAACTGGTACAGCCCCTCTGGAAAACAGTGTGGAGGTTCCTCAAAGAGTTAAAAATAGAGCTACTCTATGATTTGCACCACTGGGTATTTACCCTAAGGATTCAGATGCAGCGAAACACCAGGACACCTGCCCCCCAATGTTTATAGCAGCAATGTCCACAATAGCCAAACTGGAAGGAGCTTCGATGTCCATTGTCAGATGACTGGATAAAGAATATGTGATATATATTTATATATACACAATGGAATATTACTCAGCCATTAGAAAGGAGAAATACCCACCATTTCCTTCGATGTGAATGGAACTGTAGGGTATTATGCTGAGTGAAGTAAGTCAATCGGAGAAGGACAATCATCATGTGGTTTCACTCATACGGGGAATATAAGAAATGTGAAAAGGACTATAAGGGAAAGAGGGAAATGAGTGGGAAATATCAGAGAGGGTGACAAAACATGAGAGACTCCTAACTGGGAAACAAACAAAGGGTAGTGGAAGGGGAGGTGGGCGGAGGGATGGGGTAACTGGGTGACAGCACTGAGTGGGCACTTGATGGGATGGGCACTGGGTGTTATGCTATATGTTGGTAAATTGAATATATATATATATATATATATATATATATATATATATATATCTGTGTGCAGCTCCAAACTGGGAAGAAGATGCTAATTAAAGTGAAGACGCTGATCGGAAAGGAGATTGAGATTGATATTGAACTCACAGACAAGGTGGAGCGAATCAAGGAGTGTGTGGAGGAGAAAGAGGGAATCCCCCACAGCAGCAGCGGCTCATCTACAGTGGAAAACAGATGAATGATGAGAAGACAGCAGCTGATTACAAGATCTTAGATGGTTCAGTCCTCCATCTGGTGTTGGCTCTGAGAGGAGGAGGTGGTCTTAGGCAGTGATGGGCCCTCCCTCCATTTTACCTCCTTACCCTGTTGCTCATAATGAGGCAGCATATATCCTCTCACTCTGTGGGATACCAGAGCCACTGCCCCCTCTCCTGGATGCCCAGTCTTGTTTGGTGGGAGACCGTGAGGACCCCAGGATGCAGTGTTCTTGGCCCAAAGGGCCCTTGCTGGCTATTGGGTTTTAGTTTGCAGTCCTGTGTGCTTCCCTCTCTTACAGCCATGTCCCTAATTGTCAATAAAATATTTCCTGACCTCCTGGAAAAAATATATATTGTGCATATATATATATATATATGAAGAAAGTTCCTCAAAAAACTGAAAATAGAGCCACTATATGATCCTGCAATCCCTCTTTTGGTGATAATACCCAAAGAAAGGATGCCTGGGCGGCTCAGAAGTTGAAGGACTGCCTTTGGCTCAGGTTGTGATGCTGTGGTTCTGGGACCCAGTCCCACATCGGGCTCCCTCCAGGGAGCCTGCTTCTCCCTCTGCCTATGTCTCTGCCTTTCTCTGTGTTTCTCATAAATAAAATCTTAAAAGAAAATACCCAAAGGAAATGAAATCAGTACCTCTAAGAGATATCTGTATTCCCATGGTCATTACAATCTTATTTGCAATAGATAAAATATGGAAATGACCTAAGAAACTGTCAATAGATGAATGGATAAAGAAAATGTGATGTGTATATATATACACACACAATGTAATACTATGCATCCTTATAAAAGGAGATTCTGGGATCCCCGGGTGGCTCAGTGGTTTAGTGCCCGCCTTTGGCCCAGGGTGTGATCCTGGAGTCTTGGGATCAAGTCCCGCATCAGGCTCCCTGCATGGAGCCTGCTTCTCCCTTTGCCTGTGTCTCTGCCTCCCTCTCTGTGTCTCTCATGAATAAATAAATACAATCTTAAAAAAAAAGGAGATTCTGACATTTGCATCAACTTCAATGAACTTGGAGACTGTTATGCTGAATAAAACAAGCCATAGAAAGAAAAAAAAACAACGCTGTATGATCTCATTTTTATGTGGAAGCTAGAAAATACAGAAAAACAGAGTTGAATGGCAATTACCAGGGATGGGAGGCGGAGGAAGAGTGTTGGTGTTGGTGTTCGGTAAAGGCTACAAAGTTGCAATGATGTAGGATAAATAAGTATGGAGATACAATATACAGCATAATGACAAGATGCCATTAAAAAAATCTACCAGACTGGTAGATTGATACAAGAGTTGTTCATATACTCTATTGTGATTGGTTCAGGGATATAGGCATTTGTAAAAATTGCTTGTTTAGTACATATTTATATAACCATGTATGGAAAGCACTTTGGCAAGATTCAAAAGATTGTGTTTAGTATGCTACATTTTGTGTAAAAGAATGGAAGATAGATCATTATATTTTATTGACTATGCATAAAATATATGTAGTGTGATAAAAGTGGTTATCTTTTTCTGTGGGAAAAAATAAAGGAAAGGTGGGTAGGAGAGGGAATTAGACTTGTATACCTTATTATATTGTTTTATGATTTATTTGAATGAATGCCTTTTTTTATCCTAGAGCTCCTATTGCTACATATTTTAAACTTCTTAGTGCCTCCCCCCATTCATATAAACATGTTCTAGTTACTATAAATTATGATTCTGTCTTTGTCATTTCCTAAAATGCTGGGTGTAACTCTTTTTCCTCTTTTGACAGCTGCCTTTCTTCTGTTTTGTTCACATTATTTCCCCATCCTCACCTGTCTGTGTGTCAACCCACTGCTTCAGCTTTCAATGATGTCCAGTGAATACTATTGAGGTCTATTTTGCTTCACATTTCTGTTTCATTTTCTTCTTGACACTTTCTCTTCATGTGGATTGTGTAATAAAACTTTATCCATATTTTCCTCCTATCTCACTAGTTCTGCCCAATTTTTCTTCAGCTATTCTCTATCATAGAAATGTTGATAATCCTCAGGATTCAGCCCCCATCTCCCTTGTCATTATTATCCATACTCCCAATAGATTATCCATCCAGTTCAAATTTCACTTGTGCTTTGATGAATCACAAATTTATATCTCTGTATCAGTTCATAGATTCCAATGGCATGTTGGCTATCCTCCCATTTGAATGTGTCACAGATATCTTACACTTGACATATCCTCTTCCAGACTCATCTCTTGTGTTTAGTTATTGGTAAGTAACTTTCACCTATTCATTGACTCATGATAAAAACACAGACAATATCTTAAGATCGTTTATTTTCCTTAGAAGTTACATCCAAAAGGAGTCCAAGCGCTGTCAATTTGACTTAGTATCTTTCACAACTACTTTTTCTAATAATTGTTTCATACCAAATTCTTATGTCATAGCGGGTTAACTGAAATAGCCACTCTTTTTGTTTCTAGTTTGTACCATTAAAGATAATCACACTTTATTCCAGCCAGAAAGAATATTTGCCTTTTCTCAAACTCAATTATGTTATCATGACTATTGCTGTGTCTGGATTCTGTTACTTTTGAGGAAAGAATATATAACATTATATATTATATAATATATAATAATATATATATATATATTCCAGCTTCCCTTTTAGGTCCCCCACCCACTTGCCCAGTTGCCTCCTTCTTTAGGGTACCAACTCAGTAATTAGGAGCAGAAATACCTTTCTGATATTTTTGGTGATGTTAAAGCCATCAATCAACACAGCTCCAGACGTTGTGGTCTCCTCTCCAGTCAGTATTTTGAATGTGGTGGTTTTCCCAGCTCCATTTAATCCAAGTAATCCAAAGCACTCGTATTTCTGGACTACAAGGGAGATATTTCTTATAGCTTTTACAACTGGACACTTATAATAAATCTGAGAAAATAAGACAAAAGACCCTACAATGTACTGGAGCACTGGTTATGGGCCTACCACAATCATAACCTCAAACCCCTGTAGTGCTCTTCCCCTCTCACTTTCTATTTTACCAGATATATCCAGATCCCAAAGAACTCCAATAGATTAGGAGTACTACTAATAAATTCTTGTGATGTTGATCACTGAATGACTTTACCTTTGTAAGTTCTTTCAGAACCAGTGGGGTATTCTTTAACTTGGGAGGCAGTGCCAGGGCTCTGTTTTCTTCATTTTTTATAACTTCATCCTCATAGTTGTTGATTACTTGACAGGACACTGTAGACTATATTAAGACAAAAGTCACAGATATGAATTCACTTTAGGTATCTAGTTTAAACTGAGTGACCGTTTCAAAGCTGACCTGAGGAAGAAATATCAAAGACATCAGAAAATGTTTAATTTCCAAGAGCCTTCCGACCAATTTCCTAAACTCTCATGTGTAAGTTTATTCTTGACTTGCTTAGATTTGGAAATTAGAGACATGAGCATGTTTTTATACAGCTATGAGTAAGCACTATGTTCTTGCCAATAACATGGGCACTTCATGGAAAACAAAAGCCACACTTGTACTTGTTGTCTAGTGTGATTTGTTCCAAATAAAATATGTTGAAGACACCATTAGATCCACGTTTAAAAAAAAAAAAAAGAGGGATCCCTGGGTGGCACAGCGGTTTGGCGCCTGCCTTTGGCCCAGGGTGCGATCCTGGAGACCCGGGATCAAATCCCATATCGGGCTTCCGGTGCATGGAGCCTGCTTCTCCCTCTGCCTGTGTCTCTGCCTCTCTCTCTCTCTCTGTGACTATCATAAATAAATTAATTAAAAAATTAAAAAAAAGAACGAATTTTTTCTCTTTTGAAGGAAATACCCTCTATAGGTGAAGTCAGAGCTTGAAGAATAAATTAGGATTTATTGAAAGATTGAAGGTAGGGTGGGGATGGAAGAAAGCTGCCATCAGCAGTGGGAGCTTGGTGAGAGATAAGTAGGATTGAAACAACAAGACATGTTCTGTGAATAGTAATTTGTACTGTTTGAGCACAACTTTTTAACTGTCTAGTTTTGCATCAAGCACTCATTTAACAGTACTTCATTTCTGAGGAATGGAGCAGGAGAATGTAGTTAGCTCAGTAAACATGCTAGTCAGAAGAGTGAAAAGAGAGCTGCTTTAAGATTTTTTTTCTTTTCCATTCTAAAAATTGGATGCATAGCAGCTGTAAGAGTGAACAACTTTGTCCTGCTTTCAATATTAGGGGGAAAACGTTCACTCTTTTGTCATTATGTTCACTGTAGACTATATAAGTAGAGGCCACTTATTAGGTTGAAATGTTTCCTTTCTTTCCTTAGCAGTCTTTTAAAAAATCACAAATGGATGTTGAATGCTTTTTTTTTTGCAACAATTGGTGTTAAGATGTGGTTTTTCTTCTTGAGATTATTAACATTGTGAGTAACGAATTTTCAAATATTAAACTAGCTTTATATTTATGGAATAAGCTCCACTTGTTCATGGTGTATTATTCCTTCCATATATTCTTGGATTTGGTTTATGAATATTTTGTTAAGAACTTGTGTGTCTGTGTTCATGAGGGATATTGGTTTCTTGTAATTTCTCCATTTTGGTATAGGATGATGGTTTCACAAAATGAAATGGAAAATGTTCCCATTTCTACTTTCTGGGAGAAGTAATGCAGAATTGATGCTATTTCTTCTTTAAAATTTGGTAGAATTCATAAGTGAAATTATATAGGCTTAGCATTTTCTTTTTTTGGAGGCTTTATATATGCACATGTCTTTAATTGAAATAAAACTAGTTTCTTTATTCTTGAGTGAGTTTTGATAGTTTGTGTCTTTCTGTTCTGTTTCATAGAAGGTGACAAATTTATGAGATAGACTGGATTTCAATTTCTGTGGTATCCATAGTGGTAGCTCTTCATTTGTCCTCATACTGGTAGTATGTTTCTATTTCATGATTACTCTGGCTATCGGCTTATCAATTACAATCATTTTTTAAATTAGTTTTTGGTTGCATTCATTAATTTATCTCAATTGCTTTTCTGTTTGCAGTTTTATTTCTTTTATTTTTATTTACTTTTGCCTGCTCTGAGTCTATTTTACTCTTTTTATCCTAATTTACTGAGGTGGAAGTTTCAGTCATTAATCTGGGACCTTCTTTTTTCTTCTAAAGTTTCAGAGGTGGAATTTAGTCATACGTCAGTTGCATATAATGCCCAGTACTCATTCCAAGTGCCCACCTTAATGCCCATCACCCAATTATTCTCCCCCCTCACTTCCCCTCCAGTAATCCTCAGTTTATTTCATAGAGTTTAGCGACTCTTATGGTTTGCCTTCCTCTCAGAATGGCTAAAATTAAAGACTCAAGAAACAACAGATGTTGGCAAGGATGCAGAGAAAGGGAACCCTCTTACACTGTTGGTGGGAATGCAGACTGGTACAGCCAGTCTGGAACACAGTATGAAGATTCTTCAGAAAGTTAAAAATAGAGCTACCTTATGACCTAGCAATTGAACTACTAGGTACTTATCCAAAGGATGCAAACATGTATCGGTTTGCATCGGTGCATGTATTGAAGCAGTACTTGCACCTCAATGCTTATACTAGCCATGGCCACAATAGCTAAAATATGGAAGGAGCCCAGATGCCCACTCACAGATGAATGGATAAAGAATATGTGATATATATATATATATATATATATATATATATATATATATATAATGGAATATTATTCAGCCGTCAAAAAGAATAAAATCTTGCCATTCGCAGTGATGTGAATGGAATAGAGGTTATTATGCTAAGTGAAGCAAGTCAAAGAAAGACAAAAATAAAAAAAAATAAAAAAGAAAGACAAAAATACCGTATGATTTCACTTGTATGTGGAATTTAAGAAACAAAATGGATGAACATAGGGAAAGGGAAGGAAAAATAAAATGGGACTTTTTTTCAATAATAATGTAAACCATTTAATACTATAAATTTCCCTTAAAACACTGCTTTAGTTAGGCACATCCCACAAATTTGGTATGGTTTGGTTTCATTTTCATTCAGTTCAAAAATATTTCTTAATTTCATCTTTGATGGAGGGTTCCAGAGATGTATGTTGTTTAATTTCCCAATGCTTATAGATGTTCTCCTGTTATATTTTTATCATTAATTTGTAGCTTAATTTCAAGATAATCAGAAAACACTCTGCATTATTTCTTTAAAAATTGTGAATGGTATTTTGGGTGAAGTTTCCATGTGAAATACTCTTATTAGGGGGAGTGTTCTATAAATATCATCTAGATCTAGTTGGTAGTGTCTTATAGTTCTTCACTGACTTTGTCTTTGTTTTCTACTGATTAGTGAGGGACTATTTGACTATTGACTATTTGACTATTCACCAAAAGCTGTGAATAGGTACACGTTGTTTTGCAGGGGAGACTTCCATATTTTCTTCACCTGAGAAGGGAGTGTGACTTCTTAACAGAGAGAAGTATGCCACTTCTGTAGACTCTTTGTGTTCAGGGGAATCTGGAAATTTAAGATTTTGGGGTCATTAACTCAGATGTTCCTATTCTATGTGTCAGGGTTCCATTCTTTTCTAATAAGAGCTGTGATCTTGGCATAGCAGATCTGCCTTGGTTGAATTTGACCTTCCTGGAGCTCATCAAATCTGAAAATTGGACCTTGAGCCTAAGTACTCACTTTTCTTTGCTTTTTCCACTGAAGGAAAATAGAGCTCTCTTACTAAAAACTCTCTGCCTTTTATAGAGTAAGGAGTTTAGCAACAGTCTCACAATTCCATTGTTCTAATGGTTGCTATTTTCCCCCATATTTCTTGATTTCTTGATATATCTATCAATTAGTGCATTCTCTTCCTGACATATCATCCCAATTCAGCACTGGTGAAAATTTTAACAACTGGAACATTACTTTGTGTCAGAGGAAATCCGTGTTTCCTTTTCCATCAGTAACATGGCCCTCATTGACAGTGGGGAATCATCTAGTCCTAAAACTCTATCTTATTATATTCTTACTTATTAGAACTCTCCTGGTACTAACCTGCAGGTAGAGTTCCCTTGGGGCCAAAACCTTTGTAAAGGAGAGGAAGGAATCAGGAATAGGTAAAGAGAGGAGTCAGGCCAAAGGACATCCTCAGTTGACCCCCTGGGAGGAAGCCTGAAGTTGTTTGAGAGGCATTGAGATGACCAAACATTTTACTCTTGTATCTGTAAGTGATTGGATGCAGGCCATCTGGGAAGAAGTGTCACCTTGGAAGACAAGAATTTTTGTAGATGAAGCAATCCATAAAGATAATGACAATTGAAAATTATCTGAAGATAGTGCTCCCAAAAGCTGGGGGCATCAACTTCTTCCCTGAAGGGGGATCTGGGCTAAGAACCATATGATCATTTCACCAGATGCAGAAAAAGCATTTGACAAAGTATAACATTCATTCATGATAAAAGTAGGGTTATAGAGAACATACGTCAACATAATAAAGGCCATCTATGGAGATAAGGCCACAGCTAATATCATCATCTATGTGGTAAAACTGAGAGCTTTTCCTCTATGGTCAGAAACAAGACAGGATGTCCACTCTCATCACTGTTTTATTTTTTAAAAAGATTTTATTTATTTATTCATGAGAGACACACAGAGAGAGGCAGAGACAGGCAGAAGGAGAAGCAGGCTCCCTGTGGGTAGCCCAATGCGGGACTTAATCCTGGGACCCCGGGATCACGCCCTGAGTCAAAGGCAGATGCTCAACCACTGAGCCACCCAGGCATTTTAAAATGGTTTTTAAAGAAGATTTTATTTATTTATCTGAGAGAGAGCGAGAGAGCAGGAGCAGGCGGAGTGGCAGAGGGAGAGGGAGAAGCAGACTCACCACTGAGCCTGACATGGGGCTTGATTCAAGGACCCTGGGATCATGATCTGAGCCAAAGACAGATGCTTAACTGACTCAGCCACCCAGGCACCCCTAATCACTGTTATTTAACATGGTACTGGCAGTCTTAGCCATGGCAATCAGACAACAAAAAGAAATAAAAGGCATCCAAATTGGCGAGAAAGAAACCAAACTTTCTCTATTTGCAGAGAACATAATCCTCAGTGTAGAATGTGGAAAGACACCACACACACACACACACACACACACACACGCACACACACACACAAGAATGTAAAACTGATAGATGAATTCAGTAAAGTTGCAGGATATAAAAATCAACATACAGAAATCTGTTATATTGCTATATACCAATAATGAAGCAGTATAAAAAGAAATTAAAGAACCAATCTCATTTAGAATTGCCCAAAAAACAATAAGATACTTAGAAATAAACCTAACCAAAGAAGAGTAAAAGATCTGTACTCTAAAAACCATAAAACACTGATGAAAGAAATTGAAAATGACATAAAGAAATGGAAAGACATTCCATGCTCATGGATTGGAGGAACAAATATTCTTTATAAAAAGTCTATATTACCCAAAGCAATCTACACATTACATCTAAATACCAACCTATCTAAATACCAACAGCATTTTTTTTTGCAGAGCTAGGACAAATAATCCTGAAATTTAAATGGAACCACAAAAGACCCTGAATAGCCAAAGCAGCCTTGAGAAAGCAAAGCATGAGAGCCTGGGTAACTCAGTTGGTTAAATGTCTGCCTTTGGCTCAGGTCATGATCCCAGGGTGCTGGGATTGAGCACTTGCATCGGGCTTCCTAGTCAGCTGGGAGCCTGCTTCCCCCTCTCCTCTCTTCTTGTGCTCTCTGTTGCTATCTCTGTCTATCTCAAATAAACAAATAAAATCTTTTAAAGAAAGCAAAAACAAAGCAAAGCGAAGCTGGAAACTTCAAGTTACATTACAAAGCTGAAGTGATCAAAACAGTATGGTGCTAGCACAAAAATAGATACTAGATCAATGAAACAGAATAGAAAACTCAAAAATGAACCCACAACTATATGGTCAATTAATCTTTAAAAAACCAGGAAAGGGATCCCTGGGTGGTGCAGCGGTTTGGCGCCTGCCTTTGGCCCAGGGTGCGATCCTGGAGACCCGGGATCGAATCCCACGTCGGGCTCCCAGTGCATGGAGCCTGCTTCTCCCTCTGCCTGTGTCTCTGCCTCTCTCTCTCTCTCTCTCTGTGTGTGACTATCATAAATAAATAATAAATAAATAAATAAATAAATAAATAAAATTAATAAAAAACCAGGAAAGAATATCCAATGGGAAAAAGACAGTCTCTTCAACAAATAGTGTTCAGAAAACTGGACAGCAACATGCAAAAGAATGAAACTGGACCACTTTCTTACACCATTCACAAAAATAAATTTGAAATGGATTAAAGACCTAAAGGTGAGATAGGAAATCATAAAAATCCTAGGGGAGAATACAGGAGAATACAGGCAGTAACCTCTTTGACATAGCAACTTCCTTCTAGATGTTTCTCCTGATGTTCCTTCTAGATGTTTCTGCTAAGGAAACAAAAGCAGAAATAAGCTATTGGGACTTCATCAAAATAAAAAGCTTCTGCACAGTGAAGGAAACAATCAACAAAACTAAAAGAAAACCTATGGCGTGAGAGAAGATATTTGAAAATTATATATATATCTATATGTCTATGTATCTATATTTATCTATATGTATGTATGTATCTATCTATCTATCTATCTATCTATCTATCTATCTATCTATCGAGAGAGAGGGAGAGAAAGTAGTGCAAGCCCAATGCAGTGCTTGATCCCATGACCTGAGATCATGGGATCATGATCCCAAAACTAAGAGTCAAACATTCAAGAAACTGAGCCACACAGGTGCCCCTGGAGAGATAATCTTAAGCAGTCTGCATGCTTAGCATGGAGCCTTACACTGGGCTCAATCTCAGACCTGAAATCATGACCTGAGCTGAAATCAAGAGTTGGATGCTTACTTGACTGAGTCACCCAGGTATCCCACAAATGACATATCTGATGAAGGATTAGCATCCAAAATAAATAAAGAACTTATAAAAGTCAATACTCAAAAAATGAATGATCCAGTTAAAAAATGGACAGAAGACATGAATAAACATTTTCCCAAAGAGGATATCCATATGGCCCACAGACACATGAAAAGATGCTCAACATCACTGATTATCAGGGAAACACAAATCAAAACTACAATGAAATGTCATTTGACACCGTCAGAATGGCTTGAATCAGAAACACAAAAAATAACAGGTGTTGGTGAGGAAGTGGAGAAAGGGGAACCCTCTAGCACTGTTGGTGGGAATGCAAACTGTGCAGTCACTCTGGAAAATAGGGCCTTTTAATTCTCATAGATAATTGTGATTTTTTTCTCATCCTAATTAAAATTCCAAGTAGTGGAAGAGACCATATGGTCTCAAGATATCTTTCCTTGTGAAATAGTAAGGATATGCAGACTCAGAGAAATTTATGGCCAAGATCTAGAGCCATCCCAGAATAGCACCCAGGGACAGAATTCAGATGAATGAAATTACAGAGAGACAGATATAGTGGTTCCTGCATCAAGAGGTTCAAGTATAGACTGGAAGGAATTCAGTAATTGAATGGATGGACCATTAAAAGAATTTTTAAAATCCTAAACAAAACCCTGAGCTTATGTGAAATCATGAGAGCTATATAAAGAAATAATGAACAATCTGACTGTTAGAAGCCATGAAGCCCTACAATACTACATAGTTTTTTGTTTTCTATAAAATAAATAAAGATTTATTTATTGATTTAAGGGGGAGAGAGAGGGAGAATCTCAAGCTGACTCCCTGCTAACTGCAGAGCCCAACATGGCGGCTCAATCCAACCCTGAGATCATGACCTGAGCTGAAATCAAAAGCCAGACACTTAACCAGCTGAGCAACCTAGGCACTCTACTACATAGTTTTTAAAAAGTCAATTCCATATTTACAGCTAAATACAACTCAGACGGTATGTGCAAAAAGCAGTGCTTTCTATCATAGTCAATCCAGTTAAAATGAGAGACTTATGATTCAAATTAGTTCCAGTTAGATCTTGACATAATTGTGTGATATTTTATTTATCAAGTAATAGAGGTAGGAATATGTATATTCATACATTTTGGCCTAATAATGAGCTTTCTTTGAGTTGTATCTAAAGTCTATGTTAGTCACTTACTGTCTTGCCTTTTGTGAATATGTTGTGGACATTAGATATAATTTTATGAAAGACAAAGTTTTCCAGGCTCCAGGATGTAGTCTCCAGACACAAAAGCAAAGGTAGATAAAATAAGCCCAAGATAGCCAATGCAATAAAAAATTTTGCAATCCCATGTTTTCCAAAATTATAGACACTGTTCTCAATAACTGAGAATGATAAAAGAGAGATAGCCTTACTTTAAAAACTGATGCAAAGTCTAAGATGACACCAAATTTAAGAAATATAGGATCAAATGAATTTTAAATTCGATTTAAAGAAGTATAGAATATGGAAAATAATTATTTTAATATTTTATTCATTTCTGTTATCTTTCTGGATATCTATAGTTTTTATAATAGTTTTTCTGCCAATGATTTTTTCCTCTAGTTTTTACCAGTTTGGATGGGAGATAACATTACAACATACTCAATGAATTTTAAAGGCTGAGCCTCCATAAATACAATGCTTAATAATGAAGAAAACAAATAAATTAAAGGTATTTATGGCATACCTAACGATTATTGTAGGCCATGTCAAATAATTAAAGTCCTTTAAAGTGAGAAAAACTTTTATTCTATAAATAGGCAAAAGTTTTAAGTAGGAAAAGAATATAATGGTAATAATCATAAGGAAGAAAACAAACAGTCAAAATGGACAGTGGCTTATAGTTTTTGGGTTTACTACAGAGAAAATTAACTAATACCAACAGCTAAATTCTAGATATGCAAATAACAGACATCTCTGAGATGTGAGATACATCACCGTCTTTTCATCAGAATTGTATTTTCTGATGTGTCAATATGCAAAAATGCAATGTTTTATTGTAACAAAATGCACATAAAATTGACCTTTTTAAAGTGTACAATTCAGTGGCAATACATTCACAATGTTCTGCAAATTTACCACTACCTAGATACATAACATTTTCATTACCCCAAAAGAAAACCCAGTATCTATGAACCAGTCATTTTAACCCCCCTTCCTCTAGCCACTGGTAACCACTAATCTACTGTCTCTATGAATTTGCCTACTTTGGACATTTTATATAAATGGAATCATACACTAAGTGGCCTTTTTTGTCTCTTTTACTTAGCATAATGTTTTGAAGGCTCATCAATGTTGCAACATGGGTCTGTAATAAATTTCTCTTTATTGTTGAATATTATTCCATTGTATGGATATACTACATTTTGTTATCCACTTAGCAGTGGATGAACATCTGAATTATTTCCATTTCTGGGAAAAAACTTTTATGAATAATGCTTCTATGAGCATTTGTGTGCAAGTTCTTGTTTAAATACTTATTTTCAATTCTTTTGGATATATATTCAGGAGTGCAATTGTTGGGTCATATGGTAATTCTATGTTTAGAATTATCAAACTTTTTCAAAGCAGCTGCAACATTTTACATTCATACCAGCAATCTATGAGGGTAAGAATTTCTCTACATTCTCATCAAATCTTTAATACTTTTCATATTTTGACTATAGCCATCCAAGTAGGTGTGACGTGATATCTCATTGTGCATTTTTTTATGGAATATATTTGACATGTAACATTGTGTAAGTTTAAGGTGTTTAACATCCTTCTTTAAAAAATTTATATATTGTAACATGATTGCCAATGTAGCAATATTGATCACATTACATATTTATAGTACAATATTATTATCTATATTCATTATACTGTGCATTAGAGATCTATGGCTTATTTAGTATTCATTACAAGTTTGTGACCTTAAACACCATCACTCTTAGCATCTGTCCTCCATCCCCAAGTAACCAACATTTTACCCTGTGTTTTTTACAGGTTTAAGTTTTTTAGATTCTGCATTTAAGTGATACTACTATACAGTACTTGTTTCTGACTAACGTTGTTTATCATAATGTGCTTGTTTCACCCATGTTGTCTCAAATGGTATCTTCTATTTCCATGGCTTAATAACATTCTGCTGTGTTTATGTACCGTATTTTTTTTTTTTATCCTTCATTCACTGATGGGCATTTGGGTTGTTTCCATATCTTGGCTATTGTGAATAATGCTGTGATATATGCACAGGAGTGAATATATCTTTTCAAAATCGTGTTTTCATTTCCTTTGGGCATCTACTTAGAACTGGAATTGCTGGATCATATGGTAGATCTATTTTTAGGTTTTTGAGGCACCTCCACATTGTTTTCCATAATAGTTGGGCTGATTTACATTCCCACCAACAACGTATAAAAGTTCCCTTTCTACCATATCCTTCCCAGAACCTGTCATTTCTTATCTTCTTGGTGACAGCCTTTCTAATAGGCATGAAGTGATAATCTCATTGCAGTTTTGATGTCCATTTCTCTGATGATTATTGAAGTGGAGTATCTACTCAAGTGCCTGTTGGCCATTTTTTTTGCCTATTTTTTTTATTGGAGTTCAATTTGCCAACATATAGTATAACACCCAGTGCTCATCCTGTCAAGTGCCCCCCTCAGTGCCCCTTACAAGTCAACCCCATCCCCCCCCACCTCCCCTTCCACTACCTTGTTTGTTTCCTCAAGGAAAGAGTTAGGAGTCTCTCATGTGATTTTTCCCACTCATTTTCTCTCCTTTCCCCTATAATCCCTTTCACTATTTTTTATATTCCCCATATGACTGAAACCATATAATATTTGTCCTTCTCTGATTGACTTACTTCACTCATTATAATACCCTCCAGTTCCATCCATGTCAAAGCAAATGGTGAGTATTTCTCCTTTCTAATGGCTGAGTAATATTCCATTGTGTACATAGACCACATCTTCTTCATCCATTCATCTTTTGATGGACACCGAGGCTCCTTCCACAGTTTGGCTATTGTGGACATTCCTGCTATAAACATTGGGGTGAAGGTGCTTTTCACTGCATCTGTATCTTTGGGATAAAACTGAGCAGTGCAATTGCTGGGTTGAAGGGTAGCTCTATTTTTAACTCTTTGAGGAACCTCCACACTGTTTTCCAGAGTGGCTGTACCAGTTCACATTCCCATCAACAGTGCAAGAGGGTTCCCCTTTCTCCACATCCTCTCCAACATTTGTGGTTTCCTATCTTGTTAATTTTCACCATTGTCATTGGTGTGAGGTGGCATCTCACTGTGGTTTTGGTTTGTATTTCCCTGATGGCAAGTGATGCAGAGCATTTTCTCATGTGCTTGTTGGCCATGCCTATGCCTTCCTCTGTGAAATTTTTGTTCTTTTGTCCATTTCATGATTGGATTGTTTGTTTCTTGGGTGTTGAGTTTAATAAGTTCTTTATAGATCTTGGATACTAGCCCTTTATCTGATAATGTCTTCTCCCATTCAGTACATTGCCTTTTAGTTTTGATGACTATTTCTTTAGCTGTTCAGAAGCTTTTTATCTTGATTAAGTCCCAATTGTTCATTTTTGCTTTTGTTTCCCTTGCCATCATAGATGTATCTTGCAAGAAATTGCTCTGGCCAAGTTCAAAAAGGGTGTTGCCTGTATGTTCCTCTAGGATTTTGATGGATTCTTGTCTCACATTTAGATCTTTCATCCATTTTGAGTTTATCTTTGTGTATGGTGTAAGAGAATGGTGCAGTTTCATTCCACTGCATGTGGCTGTCCAATAATCCCAGCATCACTTATTGAAGAGACTTTTTTCCAGTAGATAGTCTTCCCTGCTTTGTCGAATATTAGTTGACCATAGAGCTGATGGCCCATTTCTGGGTTCTCTATCCTGTTCATTGATCTATGTGTCTGTTTTTGTGCCAGCACCACACTGTCTTGATGATCACAGCTTTGTAGTACAACTTGAAATTTGGCTCTGGTTTTCTTTTTCAATATTTCCCTGGCTATTTGGAGTCTTTTCTGATTCCACACAAATCTTAAGATTATTTGTTCCAACTATCTGAAGAAAAGTCCATGGTATTTTGGTAGGGATTGCATTGACCGTGTAAATTGCCCTGGGTAGCATAGACATTTTCACAATATTAATTCTTCCAATCCATGAGCATGGAATATTTTTCCATCTCCTTGTGTCTTCCTCAATTTCTTTCAGAAGTGTTCTGTAGTTTTCAGGGTATAGATCCTTTACCTCTTTGGTTAGGTTTATTCCTAGGTATCTTATGCTTTTGGGTGCAATTGTAAATGGGATTGACTCCTTAATTTCTCTTTCTTCAGTCTCATTGTTAGTGTATAGAAATGCCACTGAATTTCTGGGCATTGATTTTGTATCCTGCCACATTGCCACATTGCTGTATGAGTTCTAGCAATCTTGGGGTGGAGTCTTTTGGGTTTTCTATGTACAGTATCATGTCATCTGCAAAGAGGGAGAGTTTGACTTCTTCTTTGCCAATCTGAATGCCTTTTATTTCTTTTTGTTGCCTGATTGCTGAGGCTAGTACTTCTAGTACTATGTTGAATAGCAGTGGTGAGAGTGGACATCCCTGTCGTGTTCCTGATCTTAGGGGAAAAACTCTCAATGTTTCCCCCATTGAGAATGATATTTGCTGTGGGCTTTTTGTAGATGGCTCTTAAGATGCTGAGGAATGTTCCCTCTATCCCTACACTCTGAAGAGTTTTGATCAGGAATGGATTCTGTATTTTGTCAAATGCTTTCTCTGCATCTATTGAGAGGATCATATAGTTCTTCTTTTTTCTCTTGTTGATGTGAATGGTAAAATTTGAAAATTCCAAAGATAAAGTGAAAATCCTTACAGCAGCAAGAGAGAAGAGATTCCTAACTTATTTGAGGAGAAATAATAGATTAACAGCAGACCTCTCCACAGAGACCTGGTAGGCCAGAAAGAGCTGGCATGATATAATCAGGGTACTAAATGAGAAGAACATGAAGCCAAGAATAATTTATGCAGCAAGGCTCTCATTCAGAATAGAAGGAGAGATAAAGACCTTCCAAGATAGGTAGAAACTGAAAGAATATGTGACCACCAAACCAGCTCTTCAAGAAATATTAAGGGGGACCCTCTAAAAGAAAGAGGAAGCCCCCAAAAATAATGCACAAAAACAAGGACTGAATAGGTATTATGATGGCACTAAATTCATATCTTTCAATAGTTACTCCGAACGTGAGTGGGCTAAATGATCCCATTTAAAGATGCAAGATAGGGACTGGATAAAAAAGCAAGACCCATCTATTTGCTGTCTACAAGAGACTCATTTTGACCTAAGGACA